TTCGACCAGCTACTACAAACTGTGTACAATCTCAGTGCATATTCAACATTCCATAGCATTCATTCGTCTACTTAATGCTACGGAAAACCAGAATCTAAAAAAAAAAATTCAAACACACAGCTCAAGTAGTCGTTGATCTAAACTTTGATCACGTATCCATCGATATTTCAACGTTAGTTAAAAAGTTTATATATATTTACTCACAACATCCATTTGGTTTCGCTTCGTTCAGCCGAAAGGGCCGAAAGTTTTCAAAATAAATAAAACATTCGTCAACAGCAAAATATATATATATATTTTTTTTTTAAAATTTCGGTATATATTTTAATTTGGTTTTAAGACACAAGCCGTTAGAGCTTTCATTCCAAATTCTTGAGAGGTAAATATATATAATTTTTAATCGGTCTTCAAGGACTTTCTGGAAGTGCAGCTGCTACAATATGGCTGATAAGTGCTCGGAGCCGAAAACTGATTCAAACAACTCGGACAAGGATTTGTGTTCACGCAATCCGATTACTGGCATGGGCCTAAACGGCGATGGGGTCGGTGGACTAAAGCCCAAGATAGCCAAGAGCCGAGGTGAGATACTACTAAATTCAGATTCTATTCTGATTCTATGCATATATATCTATCTCTGTATCCCTTCACACAGCGGGCAATCCAGTGACTGGCGAGGGCTACAGCGCTGGTCTCACTGATTTGGACTTTATGCGAAAGATTAGCCGTCGTCCAGGCCCGCTCTCTAATTAGTGTTTCCCTTATTTGCTGCTCCAACGACAAGAACACGCCTCTGACATGGGAACCATGCCGTGCTCGGTTTGCCACACAACACGACGCCGTTTGACATTTTAAATATACGATTTTGCTGCATAAAACAAAAAAATAAACTGGGTGAGAATAACTATACGAGTTTTATGAACCGAATTGCGGGTAGGTCTGTCTCTGGCCGTGAACTGAAAATGGGAGTTACTGCGGCTATGCAAAGCTTAGCCAAGCTTAGACTGTATGGCTTATGTAACTATAGATCATGGAGATTCAACTGAAGTTATGCGGAGGTTCGCTTGGTGAGGGGTTTATTAACTTCCCGTACTGTGAATGCGCATTGGGTTCTTGGAAGATTAAGTTGGGGGAAAACTTACAGGACATAAATTTGTATAAATAAAAATAAATAAAATAAAATAAAATAAATTTGTATGAATTTAATTTGGAATAAAATATATTTCGTAAGCCTTTCAAAGCTTTC